TGCCCTGTGTCTGCTTCTCTCTCTCGTGCTTCATACTGCTCTGAGATGATGCCAGCACAAAGTCTGGCAAGCCAGCTTCCCCCAGCTGCTGGAAGGAAGAATTGACTGATGTAAGTCTGAAAACCTCAGAGGACCGAAAACAAAAGAACACTCACTAAAAATGGGAAGGCAGGAATTAGTGATCTGACATGTGCTGTGAGGAGGGGCCGGAGGAGGGACTCCACTATTTTTGAACCTTAGTACCTTTAAAAGGATTGGAAAATATGATTTGTTTTTGGATAAGGCTCTCTCTTTTTTCTCTGGGAAGCACAGTTTTGCTGGGAAGCTTTTCAATCATGCAGATGTGACGCATCCTACATACTGCTCCGGGGCAGTCCTGCTTTTGTGATCTAAACTCAGCTGTTTCTGGCTGACAGGCACAGGAGCCTCGCTGTGATTCAGCACTGGGCTCTTGACTTTCATTTCCCAGAATCTGGGATGATCTTACTGATGGCGAGATCTGTATTACATGCTTCTTCATATCTGCCACATTTTACTTTATTTTGCTTACCTTATTCTGTGTTGATTGACTATTGCCTGGCCTTCTACTTTAGTCAGTTATTTAAACATATACCAGTGAGAGAGAGGAGGCTCTGAGAAAGATTTTCATTATCCCTTGAGGCTTTTAATGGTTTAAATAAAACATTTTTTTAAAGTATAAAATTAATACAAACTTCACAATAGCCAAAACGTAAAACAATCCAGATGTCCATCACAGACGAATGAATAAACAAAATACGGTGCGTTTATATATATACAATGGAATGTTACTCAGCTACAAAAGGGAAGGACATTCTGATAAACGCTACAGCACGGATGAACCTTAGAAACACTAAGCTACGTGAAAGAAGCCAGACGCAAAAGGCCACATCTTGTATGACTTCATTTATAAGAAGTGTCCAGATTAGGCAAATCTATAGAGACAGAAAGCAGATCAGCGGCCGCCAGGCAGTGTGGAGAGTGGGGAATGGGGAAGTGAATGCTTAATATGTACAGGGTTTTCCCTTTGAGGGGATGAAGAAATTCTGGAAGTAGACAGTAGCGATGGTTGCACAACATTGTGAACAAACTTAATACCACTGAACTGTACACTTTAAAATGGTTAAAACAGTACATTTTACACTATGTGTATTTTACTACAACAAAAAATTTATTCAAAAAGTTAATTTATGCTCATTGTAGAAATTTATCCCCCAGTAAATTAAATTCCTGGAGAGTTAGGATTGCAGATAAAATACTATATTTATACTAAAAAATTGTCATTGTTTATCTGAAATTCAAATTTCATTAGATGCCTATACTTTTATTTGCTAAATCTGGCACCCTATTGAGAGTAAAAATTTTGTCTTTGTTATTGCTTTATCCTGAGCACTGAAGAGAATGTCTGAAACATGGGAGGTAGATCCTTAATAAATATTTGTTACATGAATATAAATTTTAAAATACATATAAAAATAGAAACTATAGAAAGAAGAAATTAAAATCATTCTTAGATCCATCAACCAAGAAAAATAACTGAGAATTTTTGGCTATTTCTACCTGGAACCTTTTACTTATGTATTTTTTTCTTGGTTATTGCCACTACTGTAGGTCAACAACAAACTTTTTTTTTTTTTGAGGAAGATTAGCCCTGAGCTACCATCTGCTGCCAATCCTCCTCTTTTTTTGCTGAGGACGACTGGCCCTGAGCTAACATCCATGCCTATCTTTCTCTACTTTATATGTGGGACACCCGCCACAGCATGGCTTGACAAGCGGTGCATAGGTCTGCACCCGGGATCCGAACTGGCGAACCCCAGGCCACTGCAGCAGAACATGCGAACTTAACCACTGCACCACCGGGCGGGCCTATTATTTAGTAGCCCTAGCCAATTTATTTAGTGGAAGGTCTTACTGTTCTCATCAATTTGTATCCACTTATTATAGATCAGAGATATGAACCCCTTACCTGCCATTTAATAAATATTATTTTTGGTTTGCTGCCAAATTTTGGTCATTCATTTTGTGAGAAGGGCTTTCTTAAAGGATAAGACTGCTGGCTTATTTGTGACTGTATCTCATGATTTTCTCTGGTCCGAGACGCTGGCAAGGTCAGCATCACCTCAGGGTCTTGCTGTCTGGGAGACGACAAGGGAATGCATGTAGGAAGAAAGCAAGAGAATTTGATCCCTGGAGAGCATCATTACCCGACTGGCTTCCCTTCTTCCCTTGGAGGGTTCTGTGCGTCTCAGTCAGCACAGCCCGAATCCCTGCTCCACCTACATCAGTGTGTGGAGACTTATGCTCAAAGCCCAGCCCAGCCAATATGCCTCTTTCCAATTTTTCACGTTTTCAGAAAATTCACTTTGCCAGTTTGATGCTGGTCACTTTTACGCTCATTCAGTGCTTTGGGGCACTACAGACAAATTTTCAAGACACTTATACAGTGAAAAGTTGAGTCTCGAGAGTTCATTTCAAGATGTGGTTACCAAGAACACCTTACAGCTAAAGTTCAGGACTGTCCTTCAGGACACTGAAAATGATGCATTAAGAACAACTCAACTCAGATGAACTGACCTGTGACAACAGATCAGTGCACAAGATGATGGTTGAGGCATGGGAAAACAACGTTAGAACTTCTACTCAGATTCCTTGTAGATCACATTTTACAGTGTTTTGTGTGTGTGAGGAAGATTGGCCCTGAGCTAACATCTGTTGCCAATCTTCCTCTTTTTGCTTGAGGAAGACTGATTGTCCCTGAGCTAACATCTGTGTCAACCTTCCTCTATTTTTAACATGTGGGATGCCACCACAGCGTGGCTTGATGAGCAGTGCTGGGCTCGCGCCTGGGATCTGAACCTGCAAACCCGGGGCTGCCGAAGCAGAACACGCAAACTTAACCACTATGCGACTGGGCCGGCCTCACATTTTATAGTTTTTATTTATTCACTCTATAATGTATATTTTAGTAAATAAACATAAATTGGAGGAATGTACTAATTTTTTTTATGATAAGGCTGCACAAAAATGCCTTGGAAATGACTATGAGAAGTGACTAGAAAGTATAACCATTGAGTGAAAGGGACACTAAAGAAAAGTATAAAAATGAGAAGTACTGAGTAAGGCTTCATTCACATTTATCAGTCCTCTATCACAGAGCTGAATCGCATCCCAAAGTCACTTTTTGTAAGATTGCTTTTCACTTCTTTCGAGAGTATTTGAATGAAATCTGATTGCACTGAGGAAACTTACTCAGGCAGGAGGTCCGAACTCTGCTAATGATAAACCATCAGTAAATTTAGAGCAAAAACCTTTCAAGTCCAAATGGAATGATGTTATTTTAAATCAACTGAACTGAGTTTTATTTCTAAGAGATGTCCTGCTTAGCAATTAAGGGTGACAAATAAGTCAACAGTTAAGGGTTTGTCGGATAGGAGTTTCCGATATATGCTATAGAACATTCCATTTTGTAAATTGCAATTTTTTTCATATACTTTATTTCCATTCTGAATTTGCTTCATCATAAATTTAACATCAGCATATAACCAGATATCTGGCCTCTCTACTATTTCCGCTTTTTAATTTGTCTCAGCGAAAAGGTAGCTATGACTGCTTGTAGCCTATACCTTTTGAAGTGTCTGCCCAGCTCGCAAAGACCCCTCTCCTTCCCTCACATCCCACTGAGGCTGGGACGCTGGCAGCCATTTTGAGAACTATGACCCCCCTCTTCAAGAAAAGCCTTTATTCTTTTTATGGTGCTGACCACAATATGGTGGGTCAAATCTCTATGAAGATTTGGGAGCAGAGGAAACTGATGGCCAAAGGAATGAAACACCACATAGAAAGATGGCGAGCTGAGAGGCAGGATTATGGACTTTCCAGAGATTCCTGTGTTCAGTGTCCATCAGCCTCTTCTTCCTTTGAATTCTGAGAACGCTCTTGAATCATTATGTCCTTGTAATACATTCCTCTTTATTTTTGTTTTTTAAAAGTAGCGACAGTTGGTTTCAGATATCTGCAACCACACACCTAATGAGTATACTACTTACACCTTGGCCTTCACAACTTTAGAGTGTAGAGCAATATGCCGGCAGATACGAGCTTGCTCACTCTTCTATCAGAAGGCCACGTGCAGCCTCTGTTCCACTTAATTCAGCAGTCACAATCTCCCTACAGGTTCCTTCACATTTCTGCTAATAGTCTGTGTGATCGACTCAATTGCAGTTGCTAAAGTGGCCAAAGTCATTGGCTTTATCTTAACGACAGTTGCTTTTGCAATATGCTGCATGCCAAAAATGTATTCTGTGCAATTAATCAACTATATTACTCTAAATGTGTCTGTGGTTCTGTGGGAGTATTTTTCCAGTGAAGCCATGAGCTCCTGGCAGCTTTTGTCTGCAGAAGCAGAGGAATAGAGATTTGACAGAGGCCAGGCTTGAAGATCCTAAGGGGTTTCTTCTCTGATGGCCAATAGGAGGACGATGAGAGCATTCTTCTGAGGAGCAATAAGTTCCTTATGGGCAAGTGGGAGCTCAACTTAGATGTAGTTTGAATAAATAGGAAATTACTTTGTAGTCAGAAATGGTGAGGTCTCAACACACTAGTTACTGTTCTGCAAATAAGAGATTCTGCTTAACTCATCAGCAGACAGCGGCTCACATAATTTGATTTGAAGGATACTGCAAGGTTTCTCTCTCCAAATAATAATTCCCTTACATAGTACATCATCCACTCCTCCAGGAAATTCCAACCCTCTTTGATAAGACTACGTAGGGGGAGCCAGGAATTGTCCCCAGAAGATTAGTGTTAAACTGCAGATGCTATCTAGAAGCAACGGAGAATCCTGTGGGCTCTGTTGATCTCTTCTCATTGTATGATGGCAAGCACTGGTTTATTATTAGACTAACAAACTGTTGCCTAGGAAACTAGAAAAGAGAAAAGGTGTAGGTGAGGGCCAAGGTTAGCAGACGTTATCAACTAACCTGGTCATAGACATGGGTCCTCAGGGCTGAGCATGGAAAGCTGGCAGAAGCAGAGCCCACACAATGACCCCATTGTGGTTGGGATGCTAGAGAGACAACAAGAGACCAAGGGCAGCATGAAGAAACATCCTGGGTGATGATACAAAAGGAGAATGTCTCAATGACCTCAAAGGTTTACCTTGGCCATCTTGTTGATCAGAACGACTAGCTATTTGAAGAATTGGTACTAATACCTGGAATTTGGGTTCCACAAATATCTATTCTATTTTGCCTGTGAGAACATAAGGATCAAGTTATAAATGACTACCTTTGTTCTGCTCTTTTTTTCCCCCAAAAACATTATATTCCCCTTACATGAAGAGGATTCATGGTGGCTACAAACACAATGCTACAGCAGAATTGGATGCAAACAGATTTATGCCCACACAAATTCACTGTTGCCCAGAAGTTAACCCTGACAGTGGTGAAACTGGCATGTCTTTGGACTAGGGTGGCTAGATTTAGCAAATAAAAATACAGGACATCCAGTTAAATTTGAATTTCAAAATTCAAAAATTTAACTGGATGTCCTGTATTTTTCTGGAAACCCTACTTTGGAACCAATGGAGAGTGTCTTTTTCTCATAGAGGAAATTGTCATATTTATATAGAAAGAAACTAAAACTAGTAATTGAAGATTCAATTCAACTTATGAAATAATTACTGGGCACTTCCTTTTTGTGAGTATGGTGCTGGGCTGTGGGGAAATCAAACATGATTAAAATATGGTCACTATTTCTCATATGCTTATAATCTAAGGGGGAAAGCAGTTGTGTAAATAACCATCAATAATACAAGGCAGAAGGAAATATGCCAAATAGATTATATATTAAGACTACAGAGGAAGGAATGATTAAATTTGATGGAAAGAATCTGGGCAGGACTTTGAAGAATACGCAGGGTCTCTGTCAACAGAGAACGGAAGACAGGCATTCCAGGCTCAGGGAGCAGTAAATATGAGCAAAATCTTGGAGGAACAAATATTTTCATGGTCCATGTGTGAGAAGTGGTGAGTAGACTAGTATCTGGAGCACAGAATGTGCAGAAAAATGAGGTGGAGTTGCTGCTGAAAAAGTAAGGCTGGACAGAGAAGGGCAGTGAATGCTATGCTAATAGTTCAGACTTTCTTTCATGAGCAAAGGTGTGGAGCGGTAAGAAGAGCCAAAGTATTCTAAGACGGGAAGAGCATAATCCACCCTGAGTTTCAGGATGACAAATCTGTAGCAATGTCACGATGGCTTGGTCACGCAAGAATTTAGAGGCAAGGAATTAGCTTAGGAGGCTGACTGCAATTATTGCCAAATGAGGAATTATACTTATGATCTTAGCAAAAATTAAGCACTCTCTTTAAGGTACTGAAAAGCCTACTTTCTGGTTTTGAAGCGGAGCAAGAGCCCCTTCAATGCCCCTTCTGTTGTTGATCCTGCCTCTGAGGTCACACTTGGCCCAGACTTGTATTTCTCTCCCTGTAGCTGGCAGCAATGTGCACTGCAGGCTGCACTATTCCTCTGCATTCCAGCAAAGAGGTGCACAGGACACTTTTTGGCATAAGAAACATCCCTGTCCATCTATGGACCGAGGACTTGGACTCACTACTCTGTTCCCAAAGTAAAGGGAAGGGCTTGTGATGGTTATTGGGATTGGGGGGGCATGAATACATTACTTACCAAGAACTTCCCTCCGTAGATTTGTGATTTCATGTTCTTTACAGAAAGGATAAATTTTATTTTACTATTAACTGGGTAACTTCAGAGTAATGGTAATGCTATCTTCATTTAAATTGAGTTTCTTTACTGATGACATTTATACCTGCAATATATAGTGAAAACAAATCAATACTCATAATTATAACTAAAACTCATTAACTATTATCAAACACTTAGGATTTTTCTAGTCACTATATTAAGCACTTCATATGAATTATCTCATTTAATTCTCCTGCAAACCCTATGAAAGGATCAGAGGTGCTACTAGGAAGAAATTCACATAAGAAGAACAATGAAAGAATCCTAAACATTATTAAAATTATAAAAGACGTGTCAAAGACATGCAAATTATTTTAAAAAGATGCCATTTTCACTTATTAATTTGGTACAGATTAAGACAAGATAACAAAAAATGCTAATTTTGATACAGTGTCTTGTACTACTGGTAGGATGAAAATTGGTAAGACTTTTCTAGAAGGCCATTTTTCAATAAGGGAAATTTTCATGCTCCAGGATCTAGAAATCACATGTGAAGGAATTTGTGTCAGAGAAATAATTAGAGATGTACATAAAGATTATGGTATAAGGATGTTCATTACAAAATTATTGCTGGGAAAAGAAAAAGATTTGCATGCTTAACAATAAGAGATTTGTTAGGAGGATGAAAAGCGATGACTTTTTTTGTTTAGTCTTTAAATTTCTTTGGAAAAATGGTATTAAAACATTTAAAAAATGTTCTTCAGGTAACTAAGACACTACATATTATAATATAAATAGTATGAAAGAAATTATTCAAATTTATCTAACTTAATTTTCTTTATACTCTTATATCCATACAGTGGAAGAATAAATATGGCTTAAAAGTTTGGCAGATAATTTTTTTTGTTTCTTTAATTAGCAATGAATATTCTTCAAAACATAAATTTATGGAATTACTATTTTATAATAATTCTTGCATTTGTACTCATGTAATTTAGCCAATCAGATAAGTCTTGCCATATTGTCAAAAAATCACATAATGATTTTTTTCTCTTTTCCCATAGACTTGATTCAGGCTACAGTGAGCCAGTTTTTTTTTTTCTTTTGAAAATTTTTCTTTAAAATTTGTTTTATTTTATTAAAAAGCATTTATTTTTTACTGAGGTATAATTGACATCCAACATTATATTAGTTTCAGGTGTACAACATAATGATTTGATATTTGTACATATTTCAATTTGTTTTATTTTTGAATGAGAAAAGGGAAGAGATTTGAATGCTTAGCCCATAAAAGTCCTTTTTCCTTGTTTAAATGAAATACCAAAAAAAAAAAAAAAAAAAAATTATCTTGAACTCTATTTCTGCTTTAATTTGCTCTTGTTAAATATTTAGATTTTATTTCTCCCTCAACATACAAACTTGGTTTCATTTAGACTTTTTTTGGTCTATGGGCTGTCTAAATTTTTCTACCCACCTGACAGTCCAAAAAACTCCTGGTTTCTGTAAGGATTAAGTCAGGAAGCAGTTTTTAACTACAACAAATTGAAACGTTTGCACAAGGAAGTGTTGCTTTTATAAGTGATGGGAAACTTCAAATTTGATTACAAGCAACCTTTGGCTTCCTATCTGTTCAACAATAGGCCATGTTGTTAAGGGCAATTTCCATGCACAGCATGTGGGTCCCATTTTTTCATCCTTAGACATGGTTGTTTACTGTTCAGCACTGTTTATGCATTTTAATCAGGCTTTTTCAGTCTCCCTTAATAAATCACTTACAAAGCGAATGTACCAAAACAAGAACTATTCTGCAGTATTGGTTGCCCTTACACATTATTTGCTGCCCTAGAGTTTCACTCAGTAGCCACATTTAAAAATAATGACAACAAGAACAAAATCCATAGCCAAGAGTTTTATATTTAGAACTGCAACATTTCTGGCTAAATGTTCTCTTTGAGCTCCACTGTTAAACATTAGGAGCCTGACTTTAAAATTCAGTTCAAGCAAGAAGGACTTAACAATTGGAACCTGCCATCAGTCCTTGGGACTGAAAGTCTTTTTGATGGGATGAAGCTGACAGCCTAGTTCCTGCCTGGCAGGCATTCACATGAAATGAGCCTGTTTTAGCACAGATAAATGTTGAGACATTCAGGTATCTTGCTGTCTGAGAAGAGTATTACCGGTTAAGGCAATGGTAAGCAGAAGAAAAAGGAGTTTTCAGGCATTTATGCCTGAGTGAGAAAAGACAATGACTTGTTAGCATCCTCTGGCAAGCAGGCAAAAGAAAGTCTGACCCATCTCTCCTGCCTCCTTAAAGCTAAACTTTCATGTGCTTTTAAATGAACTCAGAAAAAAGTACATTTTTTTCCTCCGCGAATTTTTTGTTGTCGTTGAATGAAACGGATTTTCTTAACTTCGGTTTCTAGCATCAAACGCAGATTATTATAAGCTATATTTTAAAGCCCAGGCCAGAGGTAAGAAGGCCCTGAGGAAAAAATAAGGCAAAGGGCATTGTACAATGTAGATTTGCATTTTAAAACATGACAGCACCCAGAATTTAGACCCAATGATCAACACTGACATATTTTAGAATAGTCACTGGAAAATTAATAGCATAAATATGTATTACAATTTGAGGTTCAGGAGGAGAGTTTACCAAATATAGAAATTATTGGAAAATATTTTAAGTGAGTAGATGGTCCCCAAACCAAGTAATTATCTGGAAACGTCTATGCTAACCTACTTTGCAAAATTACCCTTTGACATCACTGCATAAAATCTTCTGGAGTGCCATGGAATTCAGCAGAGCGGGTGCTATGCACAATTCTTCACAAACCCAGCCAGCCAAAGAGCTGTTTTGAATACGGCCCGGAGAAAATATTTCATAAGTGAAAAATCAAATTCTCATGTGTTTAATTAAGAGGTAGATATAAGTGTCTGAGGACCTATTCTGAAAGCATTCATCACGAAAGCGATGGGCACACTGTTGGAGGCGTTCTGATTTTAATTCCTGCATATCCAACGATGTTGTACAGAAATATTCCACCTGAAAAATACCAGCTTGGCGTTTAATTCGTAAGTTTTCTAAACTGTGTTGAAGGCCCAGAAATTCACTCTTCACCTGTTCCTTTTTGCCCATACCTTTTTAGTCTCTTTTTTTTTTCAGATAATTTTTTTCTCCAATCCATGTTCTTAAGCTTTGATTCCTTTCCTCATGATGCCCCCCTTGCTATTGGTTGCATTAGGGATAAAGTAACCTGGAAAATATTATCTTTTCACAAAAACTTAACTTAGTATTTCAGTAAATTCACTACGATTCTTTTTATTTCTTAGTCCACAGTCCTTTGAGGCACAGACTGTCTGTTAACTCATAATATTGATTCACCTCTTTCTCTTTAGTGAATGAACACACATCTTGCGTAGGTAAAGGACTACATTTCCCAGCCTTCTTGTTGGTTAGGTGTGATGACGTGACTATGTTCTGGTCCATAAAATAGAAACAGAAGTATTATGAGGATCCTCCAAGAAATCTTCTTAAAAGGAAGGAGGAGTGCTTTCCCTCTAACTCCTTTGCTCACCCCTAAAATCCAACTGCCTGGAATACAGATGTGATGTTGGAGCTCTAGCAGCCATGTGGACCTTGAAGATTAGAATCACATCGTATAGATGGCAGAGCAATGAACTGGAAGGGTCCTGAGGCTTTGATAACTTATGGAGCTGCCATTCTAGTCTGGAGCAAGGTTAGGTTTCTCTGTTATACACAACCGAAATAATGCTAACAGAGACAGCCTGACTCAAGCATGGGAAAAAGTTAAGAAAAAAAATGGAGAGTTTGACATGATTGGCAGAAACTTATTCAACTATTTACAAAAAGGTCACAAGAAAAAAGAGACAGCTTAACCCAGCTGGAATTTTTATACTCAGCAATTTTCCTCTTGACTATGTCTTTTTGATAGCTAAGTATCTGTTTGAACCTGTTAGCATTTACGATTTGGATAAATTCTTCCTATGGCCTATGGTAAAATCACTGATTGGAAAACATGTGGGATTATCGGCATTAAGATTTTGAACCAAATGCTGCCAGACGTTGGGGGAACATGTTGGGGATTTGGGTTTATATCTGGTTTGGTCAGTACAAAGCATTTCTTTAAAGTTCTCTTTGCCTTAATAGTTTGGTTTTGGACTGCTCACAGCTAAGAAACATATTTCACAATTATCATAATGATCAAGATGATATTATTATTATTGCCAATATTTATTGAGCACTTATTAGATGTAAGTACTTTGCTAAGCACCTTACCAATGCAACTTTATTTAATCCTTTCATCTATAAGATAGAGATATAATTATTACCCTCATTTTACAGTTGAGATCAAAGGTCAGAGGGTTTATGAATGGCTTTGGAAAATGGAAGACAAGGCAATTTAGATGTATCACAGACAACTAGAAAAGCTGGAGGGGAACCCCAAAAACGTTTGCTTGAAACTCACAGACTGCTGATGAGGTAGTGAATAATTAGGACCCCAAATCCAGAAGAACACAGAAATACAGAAATGTGAGTTTGGTATTTGAGGAGAGAGTATACAGGAAGAGGGGAACATTTTCCCTGCTGGAACTTGAAAGTTTGCAAGAGACGGTGGACAGGAGTGCTTTTGACAGGTTCATGGGGCAACAAAAGTTGGAATCTAGGACCTGTTAAGGTTGGGGGCTCAGGTGAACACCTTGGTTTGGGACCCAGAAGGGCTATACTTTACTAATATAAGTGAACAACAGTAATCCAGCCCTCAGGTCTACGTGCCCTAGAAAATCTCAATTCTTGAAATTGAATAAAGGCAATTCTAGATTGCTAATATCCCCAGGTGTTTGGCAAAAGCAAATGGAAAATCCTCTCTAGAGAAAGGTACCATTATCCTAGGTCTCAAATCATTTCACGAACACATTTTTATATACAATGTATGTTACACAAAGATAACTTGACACATAAGGAGACTACACATCTTCCTCAACTTACAATGGGATTACATCCTGATAAGCCCATTGTAAGTTGAAAATATCATTTCAAAAAGGCATTTAGACTTTCAACAATGTAAAGCTAAACACACATCCATACTGTGTAATATTACTTAGCTATAAAAAGGAACACACTAGTGATGCACACAAGAACTTGGACAGGCCACAAGGGCATTACGCTTAGTGAAAAAAGCTAATATCAAAAGGTCAGAAACTGTATGATTCCAATTTTAGGTCACTGTCAAAATGACAAAACTATGGGAGCTGGCCCTGTGGCCTAGTGGTGAAGTTCGGTGCACTCTGCTTTGGTGGCCGGGGTTCAATTCCCAGGCATGAACCTATACCACTCGTTGGTGGTCATGCTGTGGTGGCGACCCATATACAAAATAGAGGAAGACTGGCATAGACGTTAGGTCAAGGTGAATCTTCCTCAAACAAAAAGAGGAAGATTGGCAACAGATGTTAGCTCAGGGTGAATCTTCCTCAGCAAAAAAAGACAAAATTATAAAGGTAGAGAACAAATTAGTCATTGCCAGAGGATAGGAACAAGTGGGAGGAGGGATCTGCAAGAACTACACACACACACACACACACACAAATGAATGCAGATTAAAAAATTAAAACTGAATAAAGTCTGCAGTCTAGTTAACAGTAATGTACCAGTGTCAATTTCCTGGTTTTGATATTTACACTACTGTGATTTAAGATGTCACTACTGGATCAAAACAATTGATTCAAAAGAAGGGGAGAAAAGGAAC